CGGGGGCGGGGCTTCCCGGGGCCGGTCCCCGCCCCCTCCTCCTTGTCTCTCGCCCCTCCCGCTGCCCCGCCCCTTTCTCGCCCTCCTCCTCCCCGCCCCCTTTCTTGCCTCCTTTCTTTCTGACTTTCGTTTTTTTCTTTCCTTCCTTCCTGCCTTTCTTTTTCTTTCTTCCTTTTCTTTCCTTCTTTGCTTCCTTCCTTCCTTCCTTCCTTTTTCTTTCTTTCTTTTCTTTCCTTCCTTCCTTCCTTTCTTTTTCTTTCTTTCTCTTCTTTCCTTCCTTCCTTTCTTTCTCTCTTTCTTCTTGTTTTTTGGGTTCGGAGTCCCACTCTTTCGCCCAGCTTGGAGTGCAGCGTGCGACACGCTCGTGGCCCTCGCAGCCTTTACCTGCTGGGCTCAAGCAATCCTTCAGCCTCAGCCTCCCAAGCAGCTGGGACGACGGGCATCCACCACCACGCCGGGCTAATTTTTTTTATTTGTTTATTGTAGAGAGGAGGTCTTGCCATGTTGTACAGGCTTGTCTGGAATCCCTGGGAACTCAGGCAATCCTCTTGCCTCAGCCTTCCAAACTGCTGGGATTACAGGCATGAACCACGGTGCCGGCCTCTCTTTCTTGACTGCAAGAAAACTTGAGTTATGAGGCTTTGGGCACCAGAGCAAAGGTTCACCAACTTCTCTGTGGTTTCCTAAGCAATGCAGTCCTTTTAGGATGGTTTCAGCCATGGGCTTCTTCCTGGCCATTGGTCTCTTAATTTCACGGGTGATAAACACTGACAAAAAGTGGGGAGATACCCCTATGTATTTGTAGAAAGAAGGAGGCCTCATACATACTTGATTTACAGTCAAGTGATTTCAAGAACTGAAGGGAAGAAGAATATATCAGCCACCTAGAAAGTCATAGGACACAGTTTTTCCCAATGTGCATTAGTATCCACTACTCTTCAACAATTTTGGATTTTAAAAAGTTTTCATAAAATTGTTATAAAGACCTGGATCATATACACACCATTCAAATTCTAAGCCGGGTGTTTTATATCTCACAACGTTTAGCATATGGCAAATAGTCGCCAAATACACTTTCTGACAAAGGTGTAACCCACATTTAAAGAAAATTCCCTATTGAAAACAATAAAGGCCAGGCTTGGTGGCTCAGTCGGTAATCCCAGCACTTTGGGAGGCCGAGGTGAGTGGATTGTCTGAGCCCGCGGGTTTGAGACCTGACTGGGCAACTTGACGAGACCTCATCTCTACAATAAATCTAAAATTAGCCTGGCGTGGTAGCACGCGCCTGTAGTTCCAGCTACTTGGAAGGCTGAGACGGAAGGATCACCGGAGCCCAGCAAGTCGAGACTGCAGTGGCCGGGAGTGGTCATTGCACTCCAGTCTGGGTGACAGAGTGAGACTCCAACTCAAATAAATAAATAAATAAATAAAAATAAAATAAAAATAAAAAATAATAAATACAAGCTGATCGTGGTGGCTCACGCCTGTAATCCTAGCACTACCCATGCCAAGCCAGGAGGATTGCTTGAGCCTAGGAGTTCAAGAGCAACCTGAGCAACCTAGCTAGACCTCATCCCTACAAAAAAAATCAAAAAAATTAGCCAGGCGTGGTGGTGCACTCCTGTAGTCCAAGCTATTAATACTTGAGAGGCTAAGGTAGAAGGATCGCCTGAACCTAGGAGGTCAAGGCTGTGGTGAGCCATCACCGTGATCATGCCATTGCACTCTAGCCTGGACAACAGAGTGAGACTCTGACTCAAACCACACACACACACACACACACACACACACACACACACACAACACATGTGCACACACATGTCTTCCCCGGTTATTTGTAGTTATGAAAAAAAAACACAGACATATTGTGAGTGGCAATACAAGAGCAAAGCTTTACTGTGGCATTTCAGTTTCTCTAAAATTACAACTAGAATTTTATTTTATTTTATTTTATTTTGAGTTGGAGTCTCACTCTCGCCCAGACTGGAGTGCAGTGGCCGCTCCCAGCCACCGCAGCC